AAAAGTTGGATCCTTTTTGACCCACTTATGACTCTTTTGAATTAACTGAGCAGTTTCTAAACATATTTACCTGTTGTTTAAATATGAGCATAGTTGTGGAAGCATATGGGAGAAGCATCTGAAATGCTTATTGGTATTAAACTAACGCTGTGACCTGTTAGTTCCTCAAAAGGAAGGCTTGAAAGGCTGCTAAATGAAGTGCAAAGTTTTTAAGCTGAAAAGTAACTTTTACTTTACTCTTCAGAAAATGTATTCAGAATTGGATGTCCAGTTCCTGACAGATGAATGTGACACAGTGTTGGCCTATGAGAATAAAGGCACAAGTGACCAGGAGACAGACAGAAGAGATCCTTTAATGGACACACTTAGTAGCATGAACAGAGTCCAGCAAGTAGAACTCATCTGCGGTAAATATTACTTGTTTGGGAGTTAGACATCATATGACCTGCATATTTTAAAATCTTAAAGTGCTGCTTAATAAGACTAATTTTTAATAGCAGGGGTCTTCTAAAAAGCAGCTTACTAGGAGACTGGCCCAGATTGAAAACCTCCCAAAATTCTTATATAGGAAACCACAGCTTTGGCTCAAGCCTGGTGTTAATGACTGCTGCTTGTATTAAGAAAGCAGATTATGCCGCCTTCTACATTTTTTCTTGACAGTTTTAATATGAGACCTTCTGGAAAGGTTATGTTGCTGTTAGTTTTGTTTTTCATGTTCTGATTTAGTGCTGGTCTAGATTTATGGTTTTGGTAGATTTCTGGGTTTTTTTTATAACAGGCATTATTTGGGGTCAGGGACAGTAGGGCAACCAATAGTGTCAAGAAATTCCTTCTGCCTTAGAGTTTTCATATTCTCCCTTAAGGCAGACCCCAAAAGAAGATTCTTGGAAAAATAGCAGAGGTTGTTCTCAGTCGTATTCTGCTGGACACCTGCATCAGTGAGTCTGAATCCTGCCTGAATCCCTCATAAATTAAGGCTTCAGAGACTTTTTTTTCAATTGTATTGACTTACTCTCTTGCTTCCTATGCACATTTCTGAAGACCCTAGCGAGCTGTCATGACTATCGAGTCTTAGAGCAGAATCTGTTCTTCTGCTGACTGGATTTCTGCTAATGAACCATAAAGGATTCATCCAAATGAAGTTTGCTTAACACTTAAAGAGCAGCTAGTGCTAATATTTACAGGAGCCTGATTTTTTTTCAAGGCTCCTGTGGGCTAGAGAGGCCACCAACCTGGTGGATCTAGGCACTTGAGGAATCTGTAGATGATTAACTCTGCTGTCATTTGTCCCTTCCAGTATAGTGCATTTGAGGCATAGTTGAAATGTCTCTCCATACTTCATTATTTCTAAAATCGGGTTCATACTCTCTCAGACTTAGCAAGAATGAGGTATGATTCTCCTTGAGGTAACATTCAGAGAGGAACAGATTGTTCTGATAGAGGTAGAGGAACAAATAGACTGAGCTAAAAAAAATGCCAAATCCTAGAATTAAGGAATCTGCATGATGTGTTCTGATCCATCTCATTGCACCAGGATAGCACTTTGCTTTGCTTACAGCTCAAACTGTTATCTTTACTTGGAGCAGGAGTTGGTGTTGACAGATGTAGGAGGACTCACAAAGTCTTAAGGAGATTGTTTAGACAGAACATCCTGTATTTTTGTATTATTTTATTGTTCGGTTCAAGCTCAAATGAAGTTAACTGATGCGGTTCTAGCTGGGTACTAGCTGTCACAGATAGATACCAAGCCCTCACTGAAGCAAGTTTTTAACTACAGTTTTCCTTGCATTTTTCCTTCCAGAATACAATGACTTAAAGACAGAGTTGACTGATTATCTCAGGAGATTTGCAGATGAAGGAACGGTAAGATGCAACTATGCAGAATTTTGTGTCACCATTTGCTAGGAAGTCCCATTAGGCTTTTGTACTGTTTTAAATTGTGCGACACTTCAGGTTAAAATGACCTTAGTAACTGTTATATGAATAAGGCAAGTGAAGTGAAATTGGATATCTCTGTTAACTAAATAAGAATGTATTGTTGTTAAAGGAAAGCCTTGTTGAGAGACTATTGGAGCTGATCAGAAGTGTGTCCATAAATGTGTATCTTGGGCAGCAAGTGCAGTTTATAAATCTAATTAATCTAGCAAGGCTTTTTCTGCATAAGATTAAATCTTAGTCTCATGTTTCTACTAATCAGCTTTACTGTAAAAACTAAGGGCTGGTGTTAATTACTGACATACTTGACCTATTCAGTCACATTTCACCTGAGGACTTTGCATCCCATTGCCCCTCAGTACTTACCTTAAAAGCTTCCTTGTAAGCCATGTTCAGTATTTGAATTGAAGTGGTCTGGAAAAGCATTATTCTTATATATATTTCTAACTGGGTTAAAGTACAAGTGCTACACATGCAGTTATGTTTCCTCAACTCAAACACACTGCTACTGAAGCATTACTCTGTAAGTAGCATTCCTGACTATAGGCAGGAGGTGAACTTTCAAATTGGCATTATACCTTTTGCTAACATTGCACTTGCTCTCTTTTTGCCATTCAGAATGGGAGCTCGCATACTTTTAACGTGGAATTTAGGCTTCGGGCCTTCCAGTGCATAGAACAGGACACTGTTCTTCCCAGTAGTACCAAGGAATTTAACTTGTTGCTGCTGGTTTCCACATGTCTTTTTACAGTAATGAAAAAATATGTTGCCCTGAGTAGAGTCTCATGTAGTTCTTGTCAGTCAATTACGTATTTGGAAAAAAAATGTTATTATACCAGTATTATGATTGGATTTGATTTTTTTTTTTTTTATTCCCAATAGGTTGTTAAGAGAGAGGACATTCAGCAATTCTTTGAAGAATTTCAGTCACGAAAGAGAAGGAGGACAAATAGGATGCAGTACTACTGCAGTTAAATTGAAAAGGCTTTGACTTTCAAAAAGGACAAATGGGAAAACCATATCCTTCAATAAATAGAAGCACCTTCACTAGTACTTGACCTCCCTCTGCAAATCCTGCTTTCTAAGAAGTCGCCTCCAACTTTTTGCTTATTCAGTCTGTTTCGTAAAATACTTCTAACTACTTTTTATAGCTTACAGATGCATCCTAACTCAACGACAAATGCAATGCATAGTGACTTAGTTGTACAAATTTCATTGTCAACAGATGAGCAGACTTTGAAAGGTGGTTTTATTTCTGAGCAAATGGATTGGTCCAAATTAAAACTTGTGCCAGGTTGTTCCTTTTCTTCTTTAATCTGATTTTATTTTATTTCCTCACCCTGTATCTAATACTAAAATGGAGGCAGTCACTCTTTC